CTTATTTACTATTTTTTTAATTTATTATTTATTTTCATTTTGTCTTTTCTTTTTTTAAGAATTATTTATTTATTATGTATACACTGTTCTGTCTGCGTGTATGCCTGCATGCCAGAAGAGAACACCAGATCTTATTACAGATAGTTGTGAGCTGTCATGTGGTTGCTGGGAAAGGAACTCAGGGCCTCTGGAAGTACAGCCAGTGCTCTTAACCTCTGAGCCATCTATCCAGCCCTCATTTTGTCTTTTCTATTTATTTGTTTTAATTTTGTCTTGTTTTTTTCTTCTTTTTTTTTGTTTGTTTTTTTTTTTGTTTTGTTTTGTTTTGTTTTTTCGAGACAGGATTTTTCTGTGCAGCCGTGGAACTCGCTCTGTAGTCCAGACGGGTCTCGAACTCATGAAATTCCTCTGCCCTCTGCCTCTCCAGTGCTGGGATTTAAAGGTGTGGGCTACCAACACCCCAACATCAGGCTGTCTTGTTTTCTTTTCATTAAAAAAATATTTGAGCCGGGCGATGGTGGCGCACGCCTTTAATTCCAGCACTCGGGAGGCAGAGGCAGGCGGATCTATGTGAGTTCGAGACCAGCCTGGTCTACAGAGCTAGTTCCAGGACAGGCTCCAAAGCCACAGAGAAACCCTGTCTCGAAAAACCAAAAAATAAAAAAAAAAAAAATATTTGAAACCGGATGGTGGTGGCGCACGCACCCTGTTTCTACCCTGCCCTCAGGAAGCAGAGGCAGATGGGTTTCTGAGTTCGAGGCCAGCCTGGGTCTACAGAGCTAGTTCCAGGACAGACAGTGCTACACACAGACAAACACTGACTCAAAAAACATGAATAAATAAAATTTAATTTAAGCCAGGTAGTTGTGGTAAACACCTTTAATCCCAGCACTTGGAGGCAGAGGCAGGAAGATCACTGAGTTTAAGGCCACCCTGGTCTACAGAGTGAGTTCCAGGGCTACTCAGAGAAGCCCTATCTTGAAAAACAAAACAATTTAACTTAAGGAAAATTCTGGTTATGTATTGTTAGTTTTAGGCTGGTCTGGAACTGTGTGGTAGCAAGGTTGGCTTCAGGCTCAAGATTTTTCTGTTTCAGGGGCTGGAGAGATGGATGGCTCAGTGGTTAAGAGCACTTCCAGAGCTCAGTGGTTAAGAGGACTTCCAGAGGTCCTGAGTTTAATTCCCAGCAACCACATGGTGATTCACAATCATCTGTAATGAGATCTGGCGCCCTCCTCTGGTGTGTGGGCATACATGGAGGCAGAATGTTGTATACATAATAAATAAATGAATCTTTAAAAAAAAAAAAGATTTTTCTGTTTCAGCCTCTGAATACCATACCCTCAATTTATCACTAAGTGTGTATGTGTATGCCACCTGACCTCCCACTCTCCATAGTGTGTGTGGAGATAGAAGACATGGAAGTAGGCTTTTTCTTCCACTGTGTAGGTCTCATGAATGAAACTCAGATTATCAGACTTGGTAGTGTTGGACCCTACTGTCCGATTACCAAGGAGGAGGAGTCGCCCCAAGAGACATCTCTCATCACAGCTGATGTAAAAGCATGAGGATTTTATTAATTCTGTCATGACAGGGTCCTCCAGCAGTCGGGAGGCTAGAAGACCCTGAATGTCTGGTACAGGCTATTTTTAAAGGAAAAAACCACAGAAGGAAGGGGTGTCAGGGGGTTGTCCTTTAACTATTATGATTGGCTTATTCAAAAAGGCTATTACCAATAATTGGCTGGAGAGTGGTTGCCAGATCAGATGAGGTAAGGGAAAACATCTGAGGGTCACTTTGCCCCTTCCCAGGGCCTAAGTCAAAACATCAGTCACTGAATCGATACCTAAGGGTTATCTTGCCCCCCTATTTAATAACTGAGATCTATTTGGAGAACATTCACAAGGACTCAGGAAGGTGATGGAACGTTCCCAACATTTCAGTATGTGTGTGGGTAATTGTTAGGTGCTTGGTTCCCAGAGGGGAAGGGGGAGCATTACTGCTGAGACTGAGAGTTGTCAGAAATGGCTTCAGAATTGTCTTACAGTTCTACAGTAGCAGGTACTTAGTGAGCCATCTCTCTGGCCCAGGCCATTTAGAGACAGGGTTGCTCTGTGTAGCTCTGGTCGTCCTAGAACTCCCTCAGGCTGGCCTTCAACTCTCAGAGATCTGCCTCTAACTCCCGAGCGTGTACAGCTCTTTAAAATGCTTCTGAGCCGGGAGGTGGTGGCGCACGCAGGCCTTTAATCCCAGCACTCGGGAGGCAGAGGCAGGCGGATCTCTGTGAGTTCGAGGCCAGCCTGGTCTAGAAGAGCTAGTTCCAGGACAGGAACCAAAAAAGCTACAGAGAAACCCTGTCTCGAAAATCCAAAAAAAAAAAAAAAAAAAAAAAATTGCTTCTGGCCTGGGCATGGTTGCAACAGTTTTTAATCCCTGCACTCAGGAGGCAGAACCAAGATCTCTTTAGAATTCAGGGCCTGCCTGGTATACAAAGCAAGTTCCAGGACAGCCAGAGTTATACACATAGAAACTTTGTTTCAAAAAATAACAAAACAAAGTCTACAAAGCTTTTGTTTTAAACTGCCAGGGGTTTATTTTAGGTCAGGAGGGTGAGAAGAAGCCAGCTATCTGGGAAGTTCACTATCCCGTGATGGGCGTTCTTGGTTCTCAACTTGACTACATCTGTAACTAACTAGGTAGATTATTTTTTCTTTCTTTCTTTCTTTTTTCTTTCTTTCTTTCTTTTTTTTTTTTGGTTTTTCAAGACAGGGCTTCTCTGTGTTGTCCTGTCCTGGAACTCACTATGTAAGAGCAGGTTAGCCTCAAACTCACAGAGGTCTGCTTACCACTGTTTCCTGAGTGCTTGGAATAAAGGTGTGGGCAGCCACCACCACCCTCCTGGTTAAAAGCTTTTATTTATTTATCTATTTATGTATTCACTTGGTTTTTCCAGACAGGGTTTCTCTGTGTATCAGCTCTTGACTTTCCTGAGGAACTTTTTCTTTTTCTTTTTTTTTTTTTTTGTTTTTTGTTTTTTTGAGACAGGGTAGAAACTTTTTCTTAATTAAATCATTTGAAGTTACTACCCAATTGTAATCTGAATTTTTTTCTTTTATTTTGGTTTTCTGAGACAAGCTTTCTCTATATATAACAGTCCTAGCTGTACTGGAACTTGCTCTGTAGGCCTTGAACTCACAGAGATCTGCCTGCTTCTATCTCTGAGTGAGTGCTGGGATTAAAGGTGTGCACTACCAGCACCTGGCTTAATCTGAATCTTTTGAGATGGAAAGATCCACCTTTGATCTGAGACACATCTTCTGGCAGCCTATAAAAAGAACGTGGGGGGCTGGAGAGATGGCTCAGTGGTTAAGAGCATTGCCTGCTCTTGCAAAGGTCCTGAGTTCAATTCCCAGCAACCACATGGTGGCTCACAACCATCTGTAAAGAGGTCTGGCGCCTTCTTCTGGCCTTCAGGCATACAGACAGAATATTGTATACATAATAAAAAAAAAAAAAGAACGTGGAAGAAGGGTGCTTGCTCTTTGCCTGCTTGCTTGCTGGTTTCACTAGCCAGTCCTTTTTCCTTTCCTCTCTTCTTTCCTCTTCCTTTACCTTTCCTTTCCTTTTTCTTTTCCTTCCCTTCCCTTCCTTTTCCTTTCCTTTCCTTGCCTACTTCCTCAGGATTCTGGTATATACTGAAGACCATCTGAGACATCAGCTTCGTGGAGTGAACACCTACTGGATTCTTGGACCTTCCCAATGGTCACTGCTCAGCAGTTTAGAACACTCATTCTTGAAGAGGACCTGGGATTGATTCCCAGCAATCACATGGTGACTCACAACCATCCATAACTCCGTTTCCAGGGTACTCAATGTCCTCTTCTGACTTCTAGGGCACCAGGAATGCATATACAAACATTCATACACTCCAAGTGGTGGTGGCATACACCTTTAATCCGAGCACTCAGGAGGCAGAGACAGGTGGATCTCTGAGTTTGAGGCCAGCCTGGTCTACAAAGTGAGTTCCTGGACAGTCAGAGATACACAAAGAAATTCTGTGTCAAAACAAGAAAAACATTGATAAACATGAAGTCAATCTACAGAGCTACTTGTGGCCAGGCATGGTGGTACATGCCTTTAATCCCAGGCCTTGGAAGAGGGTCTAGGATCCTTGTGAGTCTGAGACAGCCTGGTCTACATAATGTTTTAGTATAGCTAGGACAGCATAGAGATCCTGCCTCCAGAGGCATAGTTTGTCTTCTGGAAAGAGATCTCAAATTCTAAAAGCGTGTCAGACCACCTTACAGGATATACTGACTCACATAATGATGGGTCAATAATTGGACCACACCTTTTTTTTCTTGCATCTCTGTGGAAGCCAGAAGAAAGCATAAGTTCCCCTGGAGCCCTGGACTAGAGTTACAGATTATATTAATAGCTGGATGCTGGGAATCAAACCTGGGAATAAAATCCAAGTCCTCTAGAAGATCAGCCAGTGGTTTTGTTTTGTTTTTTGTTAGAGACAGGGTTTATCTGTATAGACAGACTGGCCTTAAACTCAGAGATCATCCTGCCTCTGCCTCCCGAGTGCTGAGATTAAAAGTATGTACTGCCACTGAATGACATGTCATCTACTCTTGATTTAGAGTTTTGAGTTATTTGTGTAACTAGCTAGGAAGCTATTAGGCCGAGAGAAAAGCGGAAAGAAGAGTGAGTTCAAGAAGGGAACAGCTGCCGGCCGGTGGTGGCACACGCCTTTATTCCCAGCACTCGGGAGGCAGAGGCAGGCGGATCTCTGTGAGTTCGAGACCAGCTTGGTCTACAAGAGCTAGTTCCAGGACAGGCTCCAAAACCACAGAGAAACCCTGTCTCGAAAAACCAAAAAAAAAAAAAAAAAAAAAGAAGGGAACAGCTTTGCAGGGTCTACTCAGTGGTAGATCCAGTCAGAGGAAAAAACGTCTGGGGGAGGAAAATGCCATTGTCTGGTATTGAAGGTTAGCAGAGGTGACAAGGACAACAAAGAACAGCACACACAGGATATGAGGTGGGCTAGGCCTGGGCTTAGCGTCTATATAACTCCTTTATAAGACACCTTGGCCCTGCACACCCCACATCTCAGCCTCCTGGGCAACCCCAGTTTCCTGTGCCCTGGAACTCAGAAGCAGGGAATCATCCTCCAGGAAGTCGCCCAGCTGTGCCAGCTGCCGGCGGATGAAGTTGGTGGTGCGGTGCACCCGACGCACACGCCTCAGCAGGCTCAGTAGCAGGGTCCGGTTGCGCTCGTGGCGCTGTTCCCAAGCATCACGGAGCTCACGGTAGCAGTTGTGTTGCTCACCCTCCGAGGCAGCCAAAGTGGCTCCACAGCCTAAGGGGCAGCGTTGCTGGCCATCCTGCTGGCAATGCTGGCGGTGTTCATCCAGGTCCCCACGCAGAATCCGTGCAGTACAGCCCTCATTGGGGCAGGTCATCAGCTCAAAGGGGCATGAGTTTTGGTGACTCTTGCGATGAGCCAGAGGGCATGTCACCAAGCAGCCAGCTGCAGCGTTCTTGCACTAGGGAGTATAAGAAAGCAGGGTGTGAATTAAACTAGGTTAAGGTATTGTCACGTGGGGCTCCTGTATAATCTCTAATCTATGATATTCCCTGACAGGGGAACAGTGAACTCTGGAACCTCCTATGCTTTCTGTTTGCTTGCTTTTTGGTTTTTCAAGACACGGTTTCTCTGCAGCTTTGGAGCCTGTCCTGAAACTAGTTCTTGTAGATCAGACTGGTCTTGAACTCACAGAGATCCTCCCGCATCTGCCTCCTGGGTGCTGGGATTAAAGGCATGCACTACCACTGCCCGGCTTGCCTCATAAGCTTTTTATTGGTTTTTGGAGACAGGGTTTGTCTATGTACTCTTGGCTGTCCTGGAACTTGCTCTGTAGACCAGCTGGCCCTCTCAAACTCAGATCAGCCTGCTTCTGCTTCTTCAGTGCTGGGATTAAAGGTGTGCGCCACCACACCTTGCTGCCTGCTAACTTTTTGATTCCAAGTTTCTCCATTTTGTAAGTTAGAGGGCCAAGGGCTAGTGACCAGGCACTTTATCTCTGAAATTCATTTATGATTCCCACATTACACCTGAAGTTCCAAGGAACCAAGGAAGAATAAGCAGCTTGCCCAGTCACACAGCAAATGGTAGACCCTAATTCATGTCTTTAACCATGTCTATGACCTTTGCCTTCTACTCAGTTCTGACAAGGGGCTTCTTGACAACTCTTCTGGCTCTGCTCCACCCCCCCCCCCGCCCCCAGGACAGGAGTGGATGGATGCCCTGAGCTACCTTGACTTGTAGGCGGCCAATGGTTTTCCGGAGTTTATTCACTTGGACCATCTTTCTTCTTTTCACCTCTTGTCTACAGCATGGACAGGAGTTTTGTCTAGAAAGAGGTATCAGTGTGATGTTGGAAGTGGTAAAGTCATGTGACTTCCAGAGCAGCCTTCATGGGGGCAACCCAGCTAGTCCCTCCTTTCTGGCTGGAGGAGACATCATGGGGGTGGGGCTAGAGTGAGGATGTGGGACTTCAGACACCAGAGAGGGAGGCACACACATTCTGAGTGTCCCAGATTTTGCAGCTGAGTCTTATAGCCATTGGAACCCAGTTTTGGATAGCCCTTCCCTTCCCATTCTTGGCTGCAGGAGTTGCCCCCCACCCTCCTGGATTCCCAATGGCACCTGGCTAGCCACTGGAAGATGCACTTTTTGCAGAAGATGTGACTGCATGGCAACCTCATTGGCTTCTTGAGAACCCCATGGCAGACGGAACACAGGAAGTTGTAGTCAGGAGGGCTGGTAAAGAGGTTGAGATCATACCCACCACTCTGCAAAGGCCAGGTCAGTGTTAAGGCCTGGGTGAGACCAGACTCCATGCCTCCTGCCCCCAAGCACTCATACCAACAAGATACCTCAGCAATTTTTTTGGTAGGGAGGCAAGCTACATGAAGAAACCTAATTACAGAGCCCCCAAGGACCAGACCCCACTTCAAGGGTGAATCTGTGGGAGTTGACTCTCCCAAGATTTGACTGAAGAGGCTGGGAATAGCTCAGGCTATACCACCTAGAGCCTTCTGAAAGGTGTTCTTGTCCCATAAAACAGCTGGCATCCATTCTCAAGCGTGAGATACCATGGATTCCTGATGGCATCAGGGCAGGTGGAAAGAGACCCGGGGCTCACCATGATCTGCGTCTGGACGGCAGCTCCACTGAGGCTTAGCGGTCAGGAGTGTCCATTTCACAGCACATGGGGATTGACATCACAGTGGCATTGTCTAGCTTTGGCCAATCACAGCTCTGGCCCAGGGCCACCTTACCCTTTCCCTCTGAAGGTGGGTGGTAGAGTAGCCTCAACTCAGGGTAGTCTATGGTTTCTCCCTTGCCGCCTAGGTTTTGGCTGACAGCTTCTAGTTCCCCAAGGCCAGCAGGATCACAGGGATTGAAGCCTCCTCCATTATCATCCCTTCCCAAGGACTAGGCCATCCTGTAAAAGAGCCCAGGCTTTTCAACTTAACTGTAAAACCAAGAAACAAAAAAGGCCTTGGTTTTTGGAGACAGGGCTTCTCTGTGTACCCCTGGCTGACCTCAAACTCAGAGATCCACATGCTTCTGCCTCCCAAGTGCTGAGATTAGAGGCATGCACCACCACCACCTAGTTAATAAATTTTAGTATACGTGTTGCAGTTTCTTCTTTACTATAACAGTCTCCATATTAGTATAGAGGTCACACTGGCCAAATAACCATAACTAAGCAGAATACAAAGGAGGCCTACGGGAACAGTAGCGGAGCCACTGACATTCACAGACAATCCGCTCCTTCAGCTGCAGGCTTGGGAGATTCCAAAGCACACACCAAGTAACTACAAAGGTCACTCCACCATGCAGCTTCTAGGTCATCTCTGATGGGGTAGGACTGCTGTTTTGGGGCCGCATATGCTCAGTGAAGTCACACACTTTGGCCATCACTGGTGCCCTATTTGGGGTGGACAGATGTCTCCCTAGGGAAAAAGATGCCAACACATTCCTTCAAGATCACTTTTTGTATAGGTGGTCAGGTCAGTCATTTAAAAAAAAAAAAAATTATATAGTGTTCTGTCTACAGGCCAGAAGAGGGCGCCAGATCTCATTACAGATGGCCGTGAACCACCATGTGGCTGCTGGGAATTGAACTTGGGATCTCTGAGAAGGCAGCCAGTCTCTTAAGCCTCAGCCATCTCTTCAGTCCCTAGGTGGTCACTTTCTAAATAATTTTAAAATAGTTGGGTGGTGGTGTTGCACACCTTAATCCCTCCAGCACTCGGGAGGCAGATGGATCTCTGAGTTTGAGGTTAGCCTGGTCTACAAAGCAAGGTCCAGGACAGGCTCCAAAGCTATACAGAGGAACCCTGCCTCAAAAAAAATATATATATAGCCGGGCGATGGTGGCGCACACCTTTAATCCCAGCACTCGGGAGGCAGAGGCAGGCGGATCTCTGTGAGTTCGAGACCAACTTGGTCTACAGAGCTAGTTCCAGGAGAGGCTCCAAAGCCACAGAGAAACCCTGTCTCGAAAAACCAAAAAAAAAAAAAAAATAATTAAAAAATAAAATATAACCCGGCTTAAAGCTGTCACATAAACTCCCTAATTCTACCTGTATAGTGTCCAAAACAGTTGGAAACCCAGGTGTGATCTGAGCATTTGGAAGGCTGAAGCAGGATTGTTAAATTCTATGCCTTCACTGAATACAGACCAAGACCTGCCCTCCAAACAAAAACAAAAAAGCTATGCCCGGGGCTGGAGATGGCTCAGAACCGGAGTTCTTTCAAAGGACCTGGGTTTGGTTTCCAACAGCCACATGGACGCTTTCAACTACACGAAACTCCAGTTCCACAGGATCCGAGGTCATATCCATGGGGACATCAGGGACGCACATGGTACACATACATACATGTAGGCGAAATAAAAACACATTTTAAAAAAGCTAGTTTTGAAAGAGATCCGACTGCGTCTGCCTTCCAGATGCTGACCGCTGGGACCAATACACCTGGCCACGAATGCATATCTCACTTAAACTGAAAGGAACACCCCAAAACACAAATACATACACGGAAAGTTAAACCACTTTATTTAACAGGACGCCGGAACCCTGCCATTTTCGCGGGCGAAGCGGCGGTAGCAGTCTCCAGATCCGGTGGAACCTGCGGAGAAATGACGTGGTTAGGATCGATGGCACCAGCCAGGCAGCCAGAGCGGCGAGGCGATCCGGAGTGTAGGGGCCTGGGTTTCACCCTCCCACACTGGGGCAGCGGGCGGTGAGCTGAGGCCCCTGTGGCTCTGGGCGCCGAATCTCACCTCCGGCCACAGCCAATGCAGAAGATGATTTTCAACGAACGCCCATTTACCGGGACAACAGCGAACGCGGATAGAGGCCGGTGAGGCGCAACCTACCTGACACACAGCGCGGTGAGACACACTCTTGAGCACGACGGGGCCCGAGAGGCGCCCGCCCGAGCTCTTTATAGTCCCGCCCCGTCGCGGCTTCGGCGAGGGAAAACGCGCAGGCGCAGAGAGAACGTGGCGGGGGCGGGATAACACTCAGCCAATTACAGCTCGGGATGATCTGCGCCGGCAGTCGAGATATCGCGGCGCTTGGTGCACTATAAAAACTCCCTTCCGCGCACCCTTGCTCTTCTTCTTCTTCTGGAAAACACGTGAGTCTGTGTGGCTGGGGCGGGCGTGAGGCCTGGGCAGTGGAAATCCGAGGACATCCGGAGCGAGACACCCCTAGCCGGAAAGACCGGCTTCGGAACCCCAAGCGGCCGCGGCGTTTAGGGTCCTGCTGAGTTGCTTCCTTTTGTCTCTAGCAAATGGCGGATGACGCCGGTGCAGCGGGAGGGCCCGGAGGACCCGGGGGCCCAGGATTAGGAGGCCGTGGCGGCTTCCGCGGAGGATTTGGCAGCGGTCTGAGGGGCCGCGGCCGTGGTCGAGGCCGTGGCCGAGGCCGAGGCCGCGGGGCTCGCGGAGGTAAAGCTGAAGACAAGGAGGTAGGTCTGGGCCGTGGGCGGGCCGGGCCATGCGCTCTTGCCTGAGGCAGCCTTTTGACTGGCGTCTTCCTGCAGTGGATTCCCGTCACCAAGCTGGGCCGCCTGGTTAAGGACATGAAGATCAAGTCCCTAGAGGAGATCTACCTGTTCTCCCTGCCCATTAAGGTACAGACACACCTCGGTGCTGAAAGGTCGCTTGGGGTGGGAAGGTTGCTATCGTGATGACCCTCTGCTGCCACATCCGTTATCGGGGTGAGAAGACTACTTGGCAATAGCTTCCTTTACTATCTAGTGACATGTTTCCCACTATCTGTTTTAGGAATCTGAGATTATTGACTTTTTCCTGGGAGCTTCCCTAAAGGATGAGGTTCTGAAGATCATGCCCGTGCAGAAGCAGACGAGGGCAGGCCAGCGGACCAGGTTCAAGGTATTCAAGTCTGTCCTTTGGCAGGGTGAAGGTTTAAGATCAAGTGGTGGGGTTGAGCAAAACTCTCTCACTCTGCATAGTCACACTAGGTTTCACCCGTGTGACTTTCGTACCGGGAGAGAGAGAAAAAGAGTTCCTCAAGTACCTTGGATTGGCCTCCCAGTGGCCTCTCTTGCCTAGAGGAGCACCACAGATCCTAGAGTCGAGATATGCTGGATCTGTGAAACACCACCAGCCATTCCACCTAAGTCTCCTCTTCACAGGCTTTCGTCGCTATTGGGGACTACAATGGTCACGTAGGTCTCGGTGTCAAGTGCTCCAAGGAGGTAGCCACTGCCATCCGAGGGGCCATCATCTTGGCCAAGCTTTCCATTGTCCCTGTGCGGAGAGGCTACTGGGGGAACAAGATTGGCAAGCCCCACACTGTTCCTTGCAAAGTGACAGGCCGCTGTGGTTCTGTGCTGGTGCGTCTCATCCCTGCCCCCAGAGGCACTGGCATAGTCTCTGCTCCTGTGCCCAAGAAGCTACTGATGATGGCTGGCATTGATGACTGCTACACATCAGCCAGGGGCTGCACTGCCACCCTGGGCAACTTTGGTAGGTGGATCACACACAGGCCATGGGTGCTTGGTGTGTTTTTAAGGGATGGAGATCGGACCTGTCACCAAAGTGACCTCTGCTCCAAGGAGTGCAACAGCTCCTTAGTGGGAGGGACTTTTATCTTCAGAAATCAAGCCACCAACCCTTTTCGCTTTTTTTTTTCCAGCCAAAGCCACCTTTGATGCCATCTCTAAGACCTACAGCTACCTGACCCCCGACCTCTGGAAAGAGACTGTTTTCACCAAGTCTCCTTATCAGGTACACTGATTTAGCTGGTGTTGGTGTTGGCTGGCTTTGACTTTCTTCAAGAGTAGGGAATGTGTTGTATTAATATTTTACTTCTCTTTTTAGGAATTCACTGACCATCTTGTGAAAACCCACACCAGAGTCTCTGTTCAGAGGACCCAGGCTCCAGCTGTGGCCACCACATAAGGGTTTTTATACAAGGAAAATAAAAGTGAATTAAGTCTGTTAACATTTATTTGTCTCTTGCATTTATTTAGAGGACAATAAAATAGGTAGGGTACACCCAGTCACGAGAGTTCTTGGAGTCCTAGGCAGCAGCCGATTGCTTGGCAGCCTTTCTCTCTTCCAGCATCCTCTGCTTCTGCTTTGCCAAGCACTTTCTGGCAGAATAATAGGCTCCCAGGTCATAATCTGTAGAAGAGATGGGGTGGAGAGAGCTTGTTAAAGGATGGGAATTTGGGTGAGGTTTTAGCGGCTAGGAAAAGCCATAAGATCCCAAACCCTGGAAAGAGCTTAGGGTCACTCACAGCGGTCATGGAAGGCTTTAGCCACCTTGTGGAACTGCTCCAGTTCCTTGGCACAATTCTGCTTTGAGCTCTCTCCTTCTCTCTGTTGACAAGCCTTAAGTCTCTCCTGGATGATGTTCATAATTTCCTGGTCAACTTTGCTGAAAGAACAAGGGCTATCAGTGACTGTCAAGAATTTGAAAGGATGGAGGCTTGTTCCAGTTTGTATGGGTTCTTTATTGGAAGGGGGGTATGCTGGATAAAGCCATTCAGTCAATTGTTCCCTGCTGTGAACTTACTAGTCCCTTCTCCATTGCATCTCAGCCTCAAAGACACACAGGATATCACCCTCTTTGCATTCCGTGATGTCTGGCACACGTCGGTACTGCCGGTGATAGTAGTAGGTTCGGTTCTTGGCATGTTGTCGCTCAATAAACTCTGCAAAGAAAAACACCTCAAACTCAAGGCCTGTCTGAAGTCCCAAGGTTTTACAGTAACAGGCACCTTCAGTGGCATATCTCACCTCGTGCCCCTAGCCACCTTAGAGGGCAGGTCCTTATATACAAGAGACATAGCTGGGTATTTAGAACGCAGTTAGGCCTATGTGCCCCACAGTACAGATAGGGTTTGAACAGGCAAGGAAGCTCCATTGGGAATTCAGCAGTAGGACCCAATGTTTTCCATTGGTTAGTTAAAGAGCACAGGGTTCACACACGCGTTTAGACATCCTAAAATGTTACTAAAAAATGAGCTGACCTTAATGCAGTAATCCACCTGGCACTGGCTTGAAAACTTAACTTTTCCTAAGCCAAGGACCATCTGTAAACCTGGGGCAGTGACTTGTCTGGGAAGCTGACAAAAGTATTTGCTATGTTGTCCTGGACAATAATGAAGGTGCTGTATCAAATAATCTACCTTAGCAGAGCCTCAACACTTGGAAGAAGGAAAAGCAAAAACAACCACCTGAGTATGCTCTGTACCCCAAATGCTTAACAGATGAGCCGCTTAGTCCACTGGACATAGTGCCCAGCATGTCCCAACTGTTTACCATGCTGGCAAACTGGGCCATCAAGGGTTGAATGGAGCACTCTCTGGGACCAGGGATAAAGAGCAGTCATTTAAAACACAAACTTTGGACAAATGAAGCTGTGACCCAAAAAGAACGAATGAACACCCTGCCCATGCAAATGGACAAACACCGTCCATTTCAACCGGGGCTTACTGGCCGGCTACTCGTGACACAGAGATGACTGGTGGTGGGCTAGATTCCTGACCACTACCGTTTTGTTTCCTTTCAAGACAGGGTTTTTCTGTGTAACCCTGGCCGTCCTGGAACTCGCTCTTTAGATCAGTCTGGCTTCGAACTCATCACCGGCCCTACCACCACCCGCCCAGCTTCCCGCTACTACCGTTTAAAAGAGCGACCAGGGTCAAGAGTAGTCAGGGTTCTGCTGAAGGCAGAAAGAATTATGGGCAGGGTGTAGTCCCGCAAAGGGGACTATTCCGCGGGGGCGACGGGAGGGCCTGGGAAGTGGTCTGGGGTGCAGCGGGGAAACAAAAAGTGACGGCTCGGTTCCGGGGTGTCTCAGATTCAGTGTCATAAGTGCACTGGGGAGGTTAAGAGACAATTTGGAAAAGGAAAAAGAATCGATTTAGACTCGGGGGCTCTGGATGAGGGGCAGCAACATGCATCGGGTGGTGGTTCCTGGGGACGGGAACTGGACGTGGGATCCGTGGGGGACCAGGAGCTACTGAGCGGGCGGAATCCTAGACCCTGTACCTCTCACGAGGGTCACGGGCCGGTCCACGACGAGATCGAAGGCCTTCATAAAGTAGGTCAGGGGGTTGGGGAGCGAGGTTTGTGGCGAGGGAGCCGGCGTGCGGCGCGGGGGCTCGGGGTACACATCCTTGTCCCAAGAGTCCGGCATGGGTGCAGCAAGCCCTCCCCGCAGACCTTCAATTTCGCTCCGCGTCCGGACCAGCCCGGCCAGAGGACGCGGAGACCTCTACGCCTGCGCGGAAAGGCGGCACCGCGCCTGCGCAGTGCTTAGCCGCGGGGCACCACGGGATCGTGGCCAGCCTCTCGGGCACCCCCTTGTGGTTCCTAGCGCTATTCCACAAAGGCAAAGTTCACCAGACGCTACGAAGTGCTCTTCCCTGAACCACCAGCTAAGTCAGCAGGGAGCAAGTAGAACACGACTTGGCAAGAGAACACACACAAATCAACAAGTAATAGAAACAGCAAACGCCCTCACTACTCCAGGAAGCCACTCTGGACTGCCCAGCCGTCTGGCCTGTTACGGGCTCTGCTGGTGGGTGCCAGTGAACCTGGGGGCTTCTCTGAAAAGGCGGGGCTTGTCCCATTGTAGTCTGTGGGGGGAAAAGGGTCTCCTACCCTAGGCACGGAGTACCTTTTCCTGCTTCTGGGGGTTCTCCTCTAGTCTTCAGCTCATGTGCCCCCAGCTGTCCACTGTCCAGGACTGCACTGCCCAAACTCTGAGTTTACGTGTTTAGAACTGGTTTTGCAGCCTGGGTAGTGGAAATCCTTACCTGTCATCTTGGTGCTGGTCACCTCCTGCCAGTGCTGGGGACTAAGAACATAGAGCTATCACCTGCGGTGACTTACCAAATCTAGTATTACACAAAAATCAGTTTATGACACTAAAGTCAGACCCACAAATCTTAACATTTTGGTAGCATAGACAGAATCTTTTTTCCCCAAAGACTGGGTTTCCTTGTAGCTTTGGAGCCTATCCTGGAACTAGCTCTTATAGACCAGGCTGGCCTTGAGCTCACAGAGATCTACCTGCCTCTGTCTTCCGAGTGCTGGCATTAAGGGTTTGTGCCACCAACGCCCGGCTGGTAGCATAGAATTTTAGTACCTAATGCAAAACCGCTGTTCCTGAGGATATCTTAAGCCTGGTGGACTCGGTGATTCTACAACTATAGAACCTTGATTCTGTAACAATAGACTCTCAGGATTGAAAAATAACAGGGGGGTGTGGGGGTGGCACACGTCTTTAATCCCAGCACTCTGGAGGCAGAGGCGGGCACAGTGGCACAAACCTGTGGGAGGAGCTACACAAGGGCTGAGCTGGGATGATCATTCGAGTCCAGGAGTTCAAGATCAGTTTGGAGAGCCAGATGTGTAGGTTCACACCTGTAAACCTGCCTGCCATTTTGGTAGCCAAGGTAGAAGGATTGCCAAGAGTTCAAGGCCAGATAGGCTATAGTGTGAGACCTTTCCTCAAAAGAAAAAGAAGGAGCTGGAGAGATGGCTTAGCAGTTAAGAGGTTTTCCAGAGAACATGGGTTTGATATCCACCACTCGGTTTGTAACCGGCTGTAAATCCAAGTCCAGAGGATCTGATTCCCTCTTCTGGCCTTCAATGACACCAGGCAGGCAAATGGTGCACAGATATACATGTAGGCAAAACACCCATACACATAAAATAAAATTTAATTTAAAAAAAGGGAGCCAGGCAGTGGTGGTGCACGTCTTTAATCCCAGCATTTGGGAGGTAGAGGCAAGTGGATCTCTGAATTCAAGGTCGGCTTGATCTATAGAAATAGTTCCAGGACAGTCAAGGCTACACAAAGAAACCTGGTCTCTAAAAACCAAAAAGGCTTATATAATTTGCGGGGTGATGGTAGCAAATGCCTTTAATCCCAGTAATTGGGAGGCAGAGGCAGATGGATCTCTGAGTTTGAGGCCAGCCTGATCTACAGAGTAAGTTTCAGGACAGCCAAGCAAGGCTACACAATAAAAGGACGGTCTCCAAAAACCAAAGGAAAAGAGAAAGGAAGAAAGAAAGAATATCAGAGCTAAGAGTGTAGCTCAGGTAATAGAGTGCTTGCCTAGCATGCACAAAGCCCTAGGTTTAATCTCCAGCACTGTGTAACCAGGCATGGTAATACCAACACTTGCCCTTGGGAGGTGGAGGCAGGAGGATCAGAAATTCAAAGTCATCCTTACCTATATACTAAGTTCCAGGCCAGCCTGTGATGCAGAAGACCCTGAGACAAAGAAGCAAAGAAACGTGAAAACAGATTCATTCAAGTACTTGTTCTGGCTAGGTTCATGTCAACTTGACACAAGCCAGGGTCACCTGGGAAGAGAGAACCTCAACTGAGAAAATGCTTCCATCATACTGGCTATAGATAGGCCTGTAGGGCATTTTCTTGATTAATAACTGATGTGGAAGGACCCAGACCATTGTGGGTGGTCCCAGGTTCTATAAGAAAGGCTGAATCAGTCATAAAGAGCAAGCCAGAGGGGCTGGGGAGATGGCTCAGTGGTTAAGAGCACTGCCTGCTCTTCCAAAGGTCCTGAGTTCAATTCCCAGCAACCACATGGTGGCTCTAGTGAGATCTGGTGCCCTCTTCTGGACTGTAGGAATACATGCAGACAGAATACTGAGAATACTGTATACATAATAAATAAATTTAAAAAAAAAAAAAAGAGCAAGCCAGTGAACAGCATTTTTTTTTTTCATGGCCTCTACTTCAGTCTCTTTCTTTCTGTTTTTTGTTTTTCATGGCAGGGTTTCTTTGTGTAGCCTTGGCTGTCTTGAAACTAGCTCTGTAGACCAGGCTGGCCTCAAACTCACAGAGACCTGTCTGCCTCTGCCTCCCCCAAGTGCTGGGATTAAAGGCGTATGCCACCACCCCCGTCTTCTACTTCAGTTTCTGCCTTCAAATTTTTGACTTGAGTTCTGCCTCAG